TGTGTGTGTGTGTGTGTGTGTGTGCACACACAAGTTTTAAAGATATAGTAACCCAATATCCGGAAAAAGCTTGGACGCCCCACTGGATGGTAACGTCGTATACCAGGGCAACGTACATCTTTTTGTTCTTCCTCCTTGTTTGTCTTTGTACAATCTGATTTGGGGCCAAATTATCCGAAATTGTCCCTGGCCTGTACGTCGTTGTGTGTGCGCCATTGTGCGTGAATGGAATGTGTGAATGTGTACTGGTGCAGAATGTTTTTATGTGGATTTTCTGGTGTGTATTATATATATATATATATATATATATACGTGTATTCCCAAAATTTCACTTGTGGATCAATAAATTATGTTTTTTTGTCTATAGACGTCAGTTCTCGCTGAAATGGGCGATAGAATCAGGGCGTCGCGACTCTTTACCGCACCGCACCATGCCACACCACGCCATGCCAACCCACACCACACCACGCCATGCCAACCCACACCACACCACGCTGGGCCACACCACGCCACGCCACTCCACGCCACTCCAATCCACACCACACCGTGCCACGCCGAGCCACACCACGCCACGCCATGCTATGCCACGCCACACACACACCACACACACACACTAGGCCATGCCGCTCCACTCCTCACAAACCAAACCAAAGCTACGTGAATGTATGAATATGTCATTATTTCATTTTCACCTCTCTGTTTTTCCCTTGTGTTTTCCAGACGTTGACAGGATGATGAGAGGCAGGGAGCCCGAGATACAAGCTCAGTGAAGAAAGTGTCCGGGCTGTATTTAGTGGTCAGCTGTTTGTAGTTTCCTCACCACTCTCGCCGGGCAAAACTACCCCGTCAACGAGTTCAACGCCAGACTGACCCAACAATGCAAATTTGTTGGTGAGAAGAGAGCAGTGGATTGTGGGTCAGGCCTAGGAATCTCTGAGACCCCCCCCCTCCCGTCCCCCCTTTCCCTTTAGAACGACTTCCTTGTCCTTCTCTGTTTCGACTGCTGTCCCATCGGACCTTAGTGTCAAAGAGGCCCCCTTTACGTCCACTCCATTTTAAAGAAGTGAATCAAAACAGAAAGAACTAAAAGGGATAAACCTTTCCCTCTTCCTTCCTTCCTTCCTTCCTTCCTTCACGTTCTCTTCATCGTGAGAAGTGAATGATAAAAAGAAGAAATTTTTTTAAACAAACATCATCGCTTCCACTGTTTCCTTTTCGGGCACCTCATCATAAGAAGCGAGAGACAGAAGAAGGAAATTGGACCGAACCATGAAGCGCGTCACATTTCTCGCACTTCGTCTCCTGCCGCTGTTGCTGTGTGGTGCCGTAGTTGTACAGACAGCGCCCCCTCGAGGATTGAACGGCGACGAGCAGTCATCATCATCATCGTCGTCTTCTTCTTCTTCCCTCTCCTTCCTGTCGGAGGGTCTGAGGAAGTGGGTGGTCGAGAAGGTGGACGTTGTAGGAGAGACCGTCTCCCGAGGCGGAAACCACCCGGTCTCTTTCCAAGATGGCGGTGACGTCGGCTCCCGGAGAATGGCGCACCGAGTCTTTGAGGTCAGAGGTCAAGCCGTGTCGGAACAAGCCAACTTAGGCCTACACCTCCAGAACGTTCCGCCGAGATTCAAGTCGCACGATCTTGTGAACAGCGACGTGATGACGTCATTTGATCTCAGCGCGCCGAAGCCTCTTTTTCGAAAACTTGACGCGCTCTCGTCGCTTCTTTCGGAGACAAATGCAGTACTCTCGAAGAAACTGAAGAAAGTCAAGGACGTCGTACTTCGCCGATTGTCGTCTGCTGTGCCTACGCCCCACGTTGAGTCTGCTGCACCGAAATACGAAACTAGAAATAGAAATAGCCAAGGAGTAGACGTGCGGATTTCCCCGCGTGTGGACGAGCTTGTGCGGGCGTTGACCCATGGTGTGGCCTACAGCCGGCTGGTCAGTGCAGGCGGTCACTGGATGTCGGGCCGTCTGGGCGGGTTTGTGGACTGTGAGCTGTGCAAGCTCGGGCTGACCCTAGTACAGACCCTGGTGGGCAGGAACGCCTCGGAGGAAGAGGTCGTCTCCTTGGCAACGGGAGTGTGTAAGAATTTACACATCGAGACGGACAGGGTGTGCCAGGGGCTCATGCGGGAGTTTGCCGTGAGTACACGTCAGATAGACACCATGTTCTCGGAAGTAAAACACTGTCCAATTGTTTTTTCTTTCCTTTCAGTTTCTGATTCTATGATATCGATTGCCTGAGCTCCAGAAATATTTCATCAAAATTCAACTTTCAGATGTGTGAAAAAGGCAAGATAATATGTGAATAATTGAATAAAAAAGGTACAATTGTTTTTAAAAATTGAAACATTTTTTTCTCTCTCCTAAAATATTTTACTTTTTGGGCTTAGGACTTTTGAACAGCTTGTCAGCAATTGTTTCTTATTTGTTGTTTAGTCTTTTCATGAGTTGATAGAGGAGATTAAAACACCTACATTTAAAGAAAAGGGGTGGTTGGCGGGTGCTAGGAGATTAAAACACCTACATTTAAAGAAAAGGGGTGGTTGGCGGGTGCTCTGGTGTGGTTTGCTTCTTCTTTCCTATCAAACATCTATCGTCCTTATCTCCCCTTCTTCTTTTTTT